GGCTCCGCAACCCGCCCGTGAACGCGCTCAGGTAAGGCCCTGCCGCTCCCCACGGACCCTCCGCGGGCGATCGGAGGCACTCGGGTCGCTCTCTGCAAACCAGGGTGATCTCTGCCCTGACTGCTCCTATCACCCCGTGCGAGGTTTCCCGGAGAGGTGCCAGGCTCAGCAGCCTCTACCTTCTGTCATCCCCCTGGAAGCTGCTTAAAGACTTGATTCTAAGACGCAGCACAACAGCACTAGCAGCACAGTTTCTCCCCAGAGCGCCCGTGCTGCAAACCTGCTTTTCCATGGATTTGCCAGTCAGCTCACCTGCCCCGCACTCTGCTCAGTGCTTGCTCCGCAGGTCCCTGCCCCATCCAAGTGTGCACAGGGGTGAGGGCAAAGGGCTCTCTGGGCAGCAGGTGCAGTTCAACAAACAGAGCTGGCAGCAGGATTAAACCCAGCCAGGGCTGGCACAAGCCAAGGCTTTAATAAACTTCCAAGGAATTGGCCTCTACAGACCGATCTCGGTCAACACAGGCCCTGTGCAATCTCAGACATAAGCCAGTGAAGCCAGTCTGTAGGAGCCTCTGAAATGTTGGTTTTCCCTGTGTTTTGAAAAGCTTATGGCTTTACATTCATGTGGATTTTAGTTCCTTTAGTTCTGAGCAGCACACAAACCCTTTCTAGGCAGCTGTGGTTGAAGACTATTTGGTAACAGGGACCAGAGTGTGTATTCAAAACAAAATCCACTGCATCTGAGCTTGACTTTTAACTGACAAAGTTTGTTCAAAAGAAGCTAAAAGAGACAAGTAAGAGCATGAATAGGAAATGGAACCTGCTGCTCTGCTGCTGCAAATTCATTGTAACTGGCAATGCTTACTCTTCTGTTGCAACAGGTTTAAATGTGGAGCAAGATCATTTTCACGTGCCCGTGTAATTATCATGAGAAGCTCGGAGTGATTGATGGGGTTAGGTGAACTAGACCCATAGGACTCCCAAAGGTGCAGGGTACAAGACATACTTTGGACACCCTGTGCCCAAGAAAACTTCTAGTAAACAGTAAACTTTCCATCCTTACCACAAAAAAGCACAAAACACAGAGCTAAAGAGTCACAGAATCACTGAGGTTAGCAAAGACCTTTAAGATCACAGAGTCCAACCATTACCAGGTTTGTGTTTAAGGAACCTTAACTCCTCTTTTGAGAAGTCCTTGAGAAAACCCAGGGTACTATGCCTTGGAACAGCAACCAACGAACATCTTCAGGGCAGTGCTCTGCATTTCCCACCCTGTCCTCGAGGCCCCACGGTGCCCTCAGCAGGGTGCAGTGCTGGCACACCACGGGTGTCAGGCAGTGTGGTTGTGGTCCTGTCCCCCAGCCCCAGGAGGCAGCAGGAAGGCCCTGAAAGACTTTAGATCCATTAAACTATAGCTTGAGACAGGAGTTGTTTTTGATGGCACGTCAGGGTGGCACCTGTCCCAGAAGGGATCCATACTTACCTCACTCTTGCCATGGGGTAGTGTTCAGCTGAGGCCTGGCTATAGCTAGGAAAGGCAAAGCACACTTTGATCCTTGTGTGCTCCTTCTGCCTCTGCAGATGTTACAGACTGACCCATGGGGGAGCAGCTTTGAGACTGCTGCTGGAAGTGTTTGCCTGGGCAGGTGATGGCAGGCAGTGAGTGACAGCTACAGACAGGGCCATGTCCTGCTGCCCTGAGAATTTAATTGCACAGCAGGCACAAATGCTTTCTAAAAGCCTGGTGAATTTTGCTGCTCTGCTCCAGTCTCACCTCTCTGTCTCTCCATTACGTGTGACACCCGAGCCATTTCCCTGCTCCCAGGCCATCACAGGGCCCATTAGCACTTTAGAAGCCACTGGTGGGCAGGAATTTGCTTTCTCCTGTCTGACACCATCCACCGCTGCACAACTACCTGCCAGGCAGTGCTTTCCTGGGCAATGTGTCCTGACTTTTGAGTCTGGCAGCAAATTTGGCTCCCACACAGACTTCCCTTGAAGCTAATCTTTCCCCCAGCAGAGGTGGCATGTGGCAAATTTGATTTGTTTGGAGTGGCTTTTTTCCTGGTTTGCAGAAGTTTAGTGTTCAGAGATCTGTACTTATGAGACCATGGCATTGAGAAAAGGGATTTAGATATGCAAAGAACTGGGAGTTTTGAGGGACAGACAGACAAGAATCATAGAATCATCAGGGTTGGAGGAGACCTCTAAGATCAGGTCACAAGAGAAAGGATTGACCACACCTTAGGGGCAGATGCAGGCTGCTGGCACTGAGTGTGAGAAGGATGTGAAGGAGTATCTCAATATCTGAGCTGACGAGGTAAGCAAAGCTCCCGGGAGGATAGGGTAGAACATGGGATAAGGGAGCTTATGTCTGGGATTCTATGACATATAACAGGTATGATTGGAAAAGGCCCTCCCTGGCTGCCAGGATTGTCCTCCTGCCCCTGATCAGCCTAGTGATCAGAAAAGGTCGAGGGGATTAGAGAAGCTACAGCTTAGGACAGGTAACAACGATGGGAGAGTGTGAATAGCTGGACAGGATCAGCACCTCATCAGGATGAGATGCAGAGCAGAGTCCGAGATGCAATCAGTGGCTGCTTCCTAAAACAGCTGATCTAAAATCCCCCCCAAGGATGCCATTCTGGCATTGGCCTTAATTTATGTGCATGACTGTTCTGGCTGTATTAGCAGCTTGTCACACAGCAAGCTGTGACAGCAGCTATGACTGAGGCAAGAGAGCAGAGCAGGTAAATCCAGCACAGCTCAATTTCAAGGAGGGAATTATGTAAATACCCAGCAGTTAGTTCAGATAGAAACACTGCAAGAACCTATCCAAAGGACAAGGAGGCAGTGAGAACGAAGGAGCCTGGACTGTTGTTGTTCAGGTTGGGATTTTGGGGATTTTATTAGAAGCCCAGGTAAACTACTAACCTGTAAGTGATACAGTAAAAGCAGCTGCTCTGTATTTGTGAAACCTGGAGCACTGATGATCTTGGAGGCCTTTTCCAGCCTTAATGGTTCTGTGTATTTCCCCACCCCCAGCATACAAAGCCGTTCATTAAATTTGGAAAGGCTTTCCTATTCTGCCACGTGGAACTGTCTGCAGTGGAAGGACCTTTACTGACTCACTTAACAGCTTTTCTTTGCCACAGCCAAATTACTCTCAGTTTGAGTTTCAGCTTTCAGAACCATTACTAACATCACACTTCAGAGTTGCCTTTGATGTCTGGATGAGGCAACTGGCACACAACTGGCTGTTCTCGCTTCAAAAATAACACTTCCCCTGTCCCTGGTTGTCAGGGCTCCCACTGATCCTTGTGTGTAGCATGGTCATTCCAGGCAGCAGCTGACCCTGGAGACCCTCCTGGAGAGCTCACCTCAGCCAACAGCCCTGATTAACAGGCTTTGCTAATGGATTGTCTTAATTTTTGACTTGGAAGGAGGACTGTGTGCAGAGGTTGGCTGGAATTCCTTCACACAACCAGCTTACATGACACTGCTTGGGCTCCCTGGGTTTTCCTTTTCAGCCTGTGGATTCCCACATCAACACTCCAACTGCTGCCTTGTACAAATGTGTGCACACATGAGTACAGTGATCTGTTTTTCATCTACTTTATGACAAGCTTTCTTTTCAGATGAGATACCGTCAAACACACGGAAAAACATACACAAACTGAGTTTGCCTCAGGCCTTTCTATCAGCTCTGTGTAATTAGCACTGCTCCTCTCCCCTGGCCATCAGCTCCCTTTGCATCACCCCCAAGCTCACATGTGAAGCTGGGCCCAGGATTTGGAGAGGGTCTAGGAGGGAAAGCTGTTCTTATAAAGCACTGGGCAAACATGAAAGACACTTCTTGGATGTTCCTCCAGCCTCCAAGTGCTTGTGGCATGGATTTTCTGGAGCAGAGGCATCTCTACATATGCTGTGTGTACACAGAAAAGTCTCTCACAGGCTATACACAAACTTAGATACCTAAAACTGTGTATATAGGTATGTTTCAGTATCTAAATTATATATACACACAATTTGTACATTTATTTCTACTAACAAGTCGGCAATGCTTCTATTTTTACCTAACATCTCTATTGTGAGCATCTTCTAAACTAGACTGTGCTCCCCATGTCCATCTCTGCACACACCCATGTATATAAACTGTCTTCAAAGAGTGAAATGCAAAGTGCACACACAGGTCAGGGGTTTTAAATATCTGACTTGAAAAAATGCTATTTATACTTTTACTGATCCATTTTGAAATCCTTCATTAATTCCTTGCTGGCCAGATTTACTGCTGGTGTGTATGGGAATATCTGTTCAGATGAGCCAAAAGACATTCCATGGGGGGTTTCATGCCCAAATTCCCTTTGACAGGATCTCACACAGCATAAGTCTGGGCCTATGTATACATCTTCACAAGGGGAAAGCATTCTAGCCATCAGCACAGCACCAGGCTGCATCAGGTGTTGAGCAGATAACTTTTTCTCCCTGGAGCTCCTTCCCTTTTAAAAAGTTCTTGGATTGTCAGTGGTTTAGCATTAATGACTTTTAATTTATGCTAAACTGTTTTCCTGAAAATCTGAATGTTTAATTCATAAAGGTACTTCCAAAAGAACATTCCCCTGTGCTGTTTGCTGTGGAAACAGCATAGCCTGGAGAGGCCTCTTCAGCCAGTGACTGACAGGTTGGCCGTTGGCTTGGTGGATTTTGGGGTTTTCCCTTGAAGTGAGAGGGAGACTAAGGAAAGGGAACACAGAGAAGCTGTGGCAGCAGGCTGGGAACGACCTGCCGGGACATACTCCTCATTTCCCCTGGGGTGCTTGGTAAGGGCAGTGTCGTTGATTGTTACCTACTGAATCTCTGTCCTACATCAGTTTGGCAGTGCTCCAGGGACTAGAGGATGGACTGAAGAGAGCAGACGCAGATCCCTCGGTGAAAGCTGTTATGATTTGTGGTGAAAATGGGAAATTCAGTGCAGGTAAGACATCCAACACAGCCTGAGCAATAAACACTTTCTACACACCATGTCTGAAGACTTTCTGCCTCATAACACTGCTGACAAAAATCTTGATCTGGCTGGAAATGTCCACGAGACAGTGGATTTCTATTCTGCTGTGCCACAACTGACATGAGACATGTGACAAGCTGCACTGCCCAGGCCAAAAGTAAGGTGGTCTGTTCATGCTGCAGTGAAGGACAGCTGCTCTTCTCCCTAACGTTCTGGTGCCTCCTTACTCTGCATAGCTTTGTCTGTGTAACACCTCTGGACCAGCTGCTCTTCTCCCTAACCTTCTGGTGCCTCCTTACTCTGCATAGCTTTGTCTGTAGCTAGCTAGACCATCAGCTGGTCCAATGTATGGAACATACCTGGGGTGGGGCATTCCCTTTCTCACTAACCCCTCTGAATCTCTTTGTGCCACCTCAGGAGCTGACATCCGAGGGTTCTCTGCTCCCAAAAAACTTGGCATTGGCTTGGCCCCCATCGTGTCTCTCATAGAAAGGAGCGAGAAGCCGGTGGTGGCAGCCATCGAAGGGGTTGCCTTGGGAGGAGGCCTGGAGGTGGCACTGGGCTGTCACTACCGCATTGCACACGTGAAGGTAACGCACTCTGTGAGCGAGAGAGGCTGGTGAAGGCACCAGGAGCCACGCGGCCATGGGCAGGGGGGGAGCCTGGGACCCTCTGCCCAGAGGTGAGGGACTTACAGCACCAGGATACAAGTCTGTGTGCTCAGGCATCCTTCATCTACAGTACCACCCTTGAGGTGCTTTCATAAGCCTCACTACATAACTAATTTCAAGTAATTTCTAAATATAGGCCTGACCTGTAGCCAGTAGGACAAGATGGCTGCAGAGAAACTCGAGCAGTGGGACAGGAACATGCCCTAGGTCTCGGCAGTCGTTACCCACGTTCTGATGCAGACAGCTGCCTCTGACTGACTCATGCAGCGTGACTCTCTCCTATTTATTCTTTTCCCCAGCCCTGTGAATTTTGCATTTCTTTCTGCTCGTGGCCTAGTTTCAATAGGTAGTTGAAACTCAGCTAGCATGGAACATTTATGGTTTGATCTCACGTGAGCACTGGGCCCTCAAAGAGCTCTCTGACCAAAAGCAATAAGAGTGATCTGATTTTTTGGTCCTGAATCCCCTCCTGCAAGATTGCTGAACCACCTTAGAGCAGTACCTGATCTCCTTGTAGAGACTCTTCACCAACAGGGCCATCCCCTCACTTTTGCAGTGAGTCACTGTCTCTCCATGACAGTGTGGGTTGCTGTAACAGCATAAAGAGCTATTCTACCTCACCCTGTGTCCCACCTAAGGTGGGTGCCATAGAATCACAGAGTCATTAAGGTTGGGGAAGACCTCCAAGATCATCAAGTCCAACCTTTTACCAAGTACCACCATGCCCACTAAATCATATCACAAAGTGCCACATCTACCGCCACTATAAGTAGTGGTCTTAAAGCAACACCAAATCTCTCGAAAGCTCAATAGAAAATGTGCAGACTAATTTCTTTTTTTTTAAAAGCGACAAAATCTCAGTAGATTTTTAAGAGCAGAACAGCCCTGCCTTTCCTGCTGCCCCTGGCCTCACTGCCCTACTCAATGTCAAGTGCACCAAGAGCCACTTGCAGGAAGATGAGGGAAGAGTTCAGTAGTGTTCCAGGCCAGGTCAGATGGGGCTCTGAGCAACCTGGTCTAGAGAAAGGTGTCCCTACCCATGGCAGGGGTGGGATGAGATGAGCTTTAAGGTCCCTTCCAGCCCAAACCATCCTGTGATTCTTTCCTAAACTTCCCAGAATTAGAGCAGAGAGATAACAGTTATGTCAGTATCCTCCAGCATGTGGCAGCAACCACTTGAAAGCATTAGCTTAGCCAGGTGTGAATCTGGGGAATGCTGTTGCCCCACAGCTCTCCCCCAGTGTTGTGCTAGCACACAGACATCCACAGAAAGGTGATATTTCCCCTGTGAATTTGTACAAAGTCCTTGAAATGGCTGAGTGGGATTTCATCTCAAATATCTGATGTGGCAAAATGCAAGGATGAAATTTCTGTGTAGAAGTTTGAGGCTTCCTAGAGGAATAATGTGCGACTCACATCTGCTTGTTGCTCCTCTATTCTGCTCAGTTTGTAACTATCACCCTTTCTTATCTTGTATTTTGCTCCATTCTAGGCTCAGATGGGTTTGCCAGAGGTCACCCTTGGGTTACTTCCAGGTGCTGAAGGCACTCAGCGACTCCCCAGGCTGATTGGTGTACCAGCTGCCCTGGAGATGATCACTACAGGTAAAGTACTCTGCCTTGGCTCTGGATATGGGAATATGGCATTGACTCATACCACCAGCTTGGTCTAAGAAACAGAAATATTCTACCTGTGCAGCTGCTTGGGTTGGAGTTCAGCTTGCTGCCACTGTGATGGGTTAAGCCAGGGACACACACTTTTGAGGCACATGGTTGGTAATGCATCTTACATGTGTCTTACCTGAAAGCAGCTACACACAGGTCATTTGATCCGATGGAAAACAATGACATTGCCCATCAGGCCCCACTGTAGTCACCTCATTTCTCTTTTCATCACAGGGAAACACATCCCAGCAACTGAAGCACTGAAGCTGGGCCTGGTGGATGAAGTTGTGGAAGAGGACACCATCGAGGCAGCTCTGCGCCTGGCAAACAGGGTGATTGGTGAGCAAAGGATTGTAGCAGTGCCAGGGAGTAATTGGTAATGTTTCAGGGCTGGAGAGTCAGAACAAAGCCCAACAGTTTGTTCCAATTTATATGCTCCATTCTTGAGTTTTGGCATCCATATATGACAGATTTAATTGCAGAATTTGTTTTTGTTGTCTAAAGTGAAAAAAAAACATTTTCTGGAAAGCTGAAGAAATTCAAGTGAGACTCAGAGAACAGATATATATCAAGTCCTCCTGCTTTTTAATGCTATATCCAAACTCACATGCTCCTCTGGGCTGCTGCACTCCACTGGTTTGGGGGAGCAAGGGCTCTTTCCATAGATAGCTCTGGATCACAGCTGGCATTGCATGAATTCTGAGGCTGAGCAAAGATAACTTCCTCCCTAGAGTGGAGGGGCTGGAACATCCTCAGCCCAACTTAATGCTGTATGGGCTGTGACTCTGTCCCAAATCCTTTGGCTGCCATGCAGGAAAATGGCCTGTGGAGATGAGAGGAATGTGGAGAGATATTCCCCCACCACCACCTTAGAAATAACAGAATCCAATTCACTGGAGCTAACTCAGGAAGAGGAACATTCCTGGTGCAGCATGAGAAGCATCACCTTGAGAGAAAACAGGATATTTTCCCACTACTAACCTCCATGTGCCTTTGGAAAGAGACCATGGAGTTCCATCAGGATTTTATCTGAAGCTGTCACAATGAGATGTATGCAAGGAAGCAAAAAGCCCTTCCTGCTTCGATTCCACAGCCTTTATAGGCAGTGCTGTTCCAAGTGCTGCTTCTGCTCCTGCAGTTCTCTTCCCTGCAGACCAGGCCCTTTCTTCTCCTGTGCTAGAAACTGAGGCAGCCTAAGCTTTGTCCTAGATGACAGTGCACCAGCCTGTTAAGATCACTTGATGAATGGGCTATTCTTACAGGTCAGTATCTTGTATACTTCCCCACACCTTCAGATGTGCCAGACAGGTGCCAATTTGGCTAGGGTTCCTGTGGGAGATGCCTTTCCTTCTCTGTGTTCATCCTAAGGTATTTTGGGGCTTCATTTCCTAGTGCAGAATCAGTGACATAATCAGTCCTCTCTTCTCTTCCACTACATGTCATCAGACTAAATATAATCCCTCAGCAAGAGATGGGTGATGTACTGCACCACTGCTTCTAAGGAAAACAAAGACACTTTGGTTCACTGATTCTGTCTGTTTTGAATGAGAATTCTGTTTCTCCATCTGTTGGGAGAGCAGTGAAATATTACCACTCTTCTAGGCAAATTAACCCGACAGCATTCCCTCTGATGTACCCTCTGGGCTTTGAGCAATGCCCTGCACAAATCTCTTCCAGTATTGATGGCAGCAGCAGTGTGTCATGGAATGAGTAATGGATACAACTGCTGGAACTGGCAAACCAGTAACATTCTGGATTTCAGCAAATGCTGTGTGAATTCAGGCAGAATTTAGCTATTTGCATGCTTTTTTATTCTGTGACAGACATCGTGCAGTGGTTGACAGTTGTGAGAGCTTGGCCTTAGAGGAAAACCTCAGGCAGGAATTACTGAGCACACCATTCCTCAGGGGAACTTGCTTTCTGGAGCTTATGTCCACGACCACTACTGGCAAATTCCTCTTCTGTAGCTTCATCTTCACTGCAAATTGTCACTACCAGTATTTTCTTTCAGAGGGTCACATAAGGACCTCCTTGTGTGGAGTCACAC